GCTCCTTTACTCAGGTCTCTTTGATGGGGACTCTCTGGCAGAGCAGAGTCTGATGGCACAACACTGTCTTGCCCCAGCAGGCAGGGCACAGAGTCACAGTCACACCGGCTGCTCCATTTCCATGTGCTCAGCCCACCCACCAGAGTGCTGTGCCAGTGATGACACCTACTTCAGCAGCTAGGGCAAGATACACCAATGTGGGCTGCTAGAGGCATTTGCATTCCTGACCTTTAATGGGAGCAGCCTAAAGCCTAAGGAACAATCAGTTGGAGTAGAGAGCAGTGAGTGATGGCGTGTCTGGACAGGAATCATGAGAAGAGACATTCTTGGCAAAATGTATCAAATATTTTTATTGTTGTCAAACCAGATGACTATTTAAAAAGGCACAGGCAGTCTACAAATTAGAATTCTGTCATTTGGCATGATTAAGTGGACTAGATTCAAAATGAATTCAATTTTTTAAATGTTCAAAGGTTCAATTGATCAGGAAAATGCAAATTAAAACCATAGTAAGACATGACAACACATTTATCAGAATGGCTAAAATTTTAAAAGACTGATAATATCAAGTGTTGGCAAGGATGTGGAGCAACTTGATCTCTCATACATTGCTGGTGGGAATGTGAAATGGTACAGCCACTACAGAAATTTGTTTCATAGCTTCTTAAAAAGTTAAAGCTATACCTACCATATCCCTAGTCATTCCATTCTTAAGTGGACTTATTTACTCAAGAGGAATGGAACAAAATGTACACACAAGGATTTATACACAAATGTTCATATCAGCTTTATTCACAACAGCTCCAAAGTGGAAACAATCCGAATACCATCAATAGGGGAATGGGTAAACATATACTTATAGAATGAAACAGTACTGAGTGATAAAAAGGAAGAAACTATTGAAACACACAACATGGAACAACATGGATGAATTTCAAAAATAATATGCTGAATGAAAGGTCCATATTGAAATGCTACATTCAATATGACTCCATTGATATAAAATACAAACTAGAGTGACAAAATGCAGATCAGTGGTTGCCCCTGGCCTGGAGCAAAGGGAGAGATAAACTGCAAAGAGGCACAAGAAGTCTTTGGGGATGACGGAAATGCGATGTAACTTAATCATGGTGGAGGTGCGTGGGTGCATACAACTGTCAAAACTCAAAATTCTATACTTGAAATTGATGCACCCAATGTACCTATTATTCCTCAACAACGTTGGTTAGAAAAAAGTTCATATTATTACAAAAAATTCAACCTTGTATTTGTGAATTAGATAAAAAATGTTTGCTTTATATATAAAATTGCATATCTGTACCACTGCTACAATTAACATTTATGGGTCCAATAAGAGCATGGCTTGTTAAGTTTTTCAAATTTTTTCTTGACACTACAAGCTTGTTTTATAGAAATGAGCTTTTCTTTATTGGAATATCAATTGTTATCTCTACTTTCCATTGTTCTAAGAAAGAGCACTGTGAATATAACCACATTTTTCCAGGCTTCATCTTTTTCTTTCTTTTTTTTTTCCTTAACAGAAATACTGGGGATTGAACCCAGGACCTCATGCACACCAATCACATGCTCTACCACTGAGCTATACACCACCTCAAATCTTGGTTTTCCTTTTCCTTCCTTTTTCTGAACTCCAGATATGAGTATTTATTAGAGATGCTCTGTTCTCCCTCATTCTTCAATGTCACAAGCATCTTCATCAGTCAGTCACTCAAACATTTAGTGATTGCCTATGTGCTGCCTTAACTATTTGGGGACAGAAGTTTTAAAGACATTTATCAACTCTTCGTGAACTTCATTAGCTAGCTATCATCCAGGTCTAGTCAGGTTGCATTCAAGTCTAATCTTGCTGGTCTTTAAAATCCAAACACATGTTTAGTCCCTCCCTGAAAGAGTCACTCCGCTAGTTGCTAAACAGACAGAACTGGCAATAGTATTCACCTCCAGGAACTTAACTTCCAATATTTTTAACATAATGCTTCCTGAGTGCCACTTCAAAGGCTTGGGGGAAAACATATTGAAAACTGCCTGCCTATTTTGGCCAAGGTACAAATCACGCTCTCATCCAGGAGCTTTTTCTGTAGGAGAGTATGTTTTTCAGGTAGTTTTCAGTTATTATTTGAACCATCAGCAATTTACATGGAAATGTTAACAAATATCCATTTGCAACTGGATCATCCCTCACTGTGCAGGTGAAATATTAGAATTTAAAAAGTAGTTTGTTAATTAGATTATTTCTACGTATTCAGTGGCAGGATAGCTCTGAAAGCAAATGTCTCTTAATCCAATCAGCTGTGGCCTTTATAAATGGTGGGATGATCAAAGTGGCTCAAATGTCTATGTCTTTGTAGAACTTAAGCACCACAGCTGATCTGTTGGATCAAAAGAATATTTTCACCTCACTTCTGCATTTCTTCATGTAGAAATAGCCTCAGTTATGACTAGTGGCTTAGCATCATTTTAGTTATTAGCCTGAATTTTAACATTGAACTTAAAATCCAAAAATTCAATATACTGAGAATAGAAAGAAATCACATTTCATAGCAAGCACAATATTTCTAAATTTTATAACAGTTACCCAGTTTGTTCCCATTGCATATGCTAACATTCAATATTGATGTTTATCTTGGCATTCAGAATTTCATTTATGATCATCCATTGAATGTTATCTGCAGACTCACACATTCAATGCTATTCTCAGACTCACCAAACCAAAGTGGGTTTATATAAATTGTTCCTTAGTCACAACTATACCATGTCAGTCCCAATTAATGACAAAACTCTCTGGGTAAATACCACCCATAATACATATTGGTAGATTACCATAGTGTTTTAACAGCAACCAACAAAACATCTTCTAACAAAGGTTCTGTCTAGTTAACCTGAGTACATTTACAACTTAAAAGCATAATTGATGGTTACTGGTTACTTCCAGTTTGTTAATTTCATGTCCTTACTTCATACAGACACTGACTCTCACAGTTCTTTTCATTCTCTCCAGCTTGGTATCATCTGAAAATTTCACATTCCAACCTCTAAGTATTAAATATTAAGGACTTTAGGTCTGACCTTTATAGCTTAGTAGCCTAATGTAAGATAAAGACTCTCAAATAACCACCACTGACAGGATACACTGAATTATATTTGTAACCATCCTCACTTAGGTATAATTGCACATACTTAAATAATTTGGCAAGTTATAATATATGTATATATGAAATCATCCCTAAAATGAAGAGGATATCGTTGATCCCCCAATATTTCCTCATGCCATTTCTAATCCCCCCACACCTCCCTGTCCTCCTTCTAAAGCAACCACTGCTCTGTAGTCTGTCACTATGACATTGCATTTTTTTAATTATGAAAAAAAAAGTCCTTTCAAAAACTTTGATCATCCATTATTTTGTTTCAACATTCAATAAAAGCCTAAGATATGTTGTAATGTTCCTAAGTGACATTCCAGGTCTCATCAAAACCAAATACCTAAAAGATAGCTAAATAAATACAAAATGCTAAAAGTGGAAATATAAACAGAGGTCTTCTCTTTGACAAGCAGCTGTGCTTCTCACAGAGTTGTCTAAAGTAGGGTGAAAATCTTTTGGTACCAATCCAGGGCTGGGACGGATCATCTCCAACCCTTTACTAGGTTTCAACCTCCAAATTAATCAGTACAAATATTACTTTTAAACTTCTAAGGAAGGAAAAGATTTCCCTAGCTAACTAACCTGCCGGTTAATAACTTGGTTTTATATTTATTACTAAAAATCCATCAGTTTCCCCTTCTTTAAGACATGACTCTAGTAATATGAGGATTATTTCATATAATTTTCCATTATAAAACCAATCTACATTCACTTTGGGATACTTGGAGCAGAAAGTAAAAAGAAAAAAAAAATGAAAAGAAAGGAAAAGTTGTTTCTCATCTACTCCTGACCTAGAAACAACAGTCTTAGTATTTGGGTATATGACCTTTCCTTTGCTCAGTCTTCTGCTTTTGGATTCTAGCATGAATTCCATGCTACATGACTCTTAGAAGGAAATAAAATTAATTTTATTGACTTATTCTTTATAAATTATAAATATAGAAATTAGCTTTAAATTGTCTAATATTTATTATTTATAAGAAGTCTTTTGTTTATGCCTTTTCTCATTTTCTCTTACAGTTTTTTTAGAAGATATTTCTTACAAGACATACAACAATTCTAGACATTTCCTTTAGAAATTCGCAAAATACTGAATAAGTGTCCTACCTTGAATACATCTGTGGTAGTCATTAGTGTTGTTCCCCAAACATTTCTGGCTGTTCAACTTTTGGAAAAATAGTTGGATTGCGCTTCCTGGACCCCTTGTCATTAAGTGAGCATCGCGCAACTAGGACTAACTGATAAGTTGTGAGCAGAAGTGATACGCATCCTTTCTAGACCAAGTTATTAAATTGCTTATGTGAAGACTTCCAGAGTTTCTTTCCCTCTGCTGTTGGAACTGGCAATGTTTCTGATGACCGTTCTGCCTGTCTGAGTCCCAAGAAGACACTTGGGAAAAAGCCCATAATCACTGCACGATGGACCTGTTGTGTGAGTGAGAAACAAAAGTTTGGTTTCTGTAATTCACAAAGGTCTGTCGAGTGATTACAGCTGCATATCTTAGCCTATCCTTAAGTACTTAATATGTATGTTTCTAATTTTTATTGCACCAATTCCTAGTTTATTAGAGTTTGACTCGTCTCATTCATAACTAATCCTCAGAATGCAGCTAACTTTCTTGTAAAGATCTTAAAGTAACTACAACTGAATTTGTGTAATGGGCATCCCAGAAGAAAAGATGTAGGTATCGCTGATGGTTTTAAGCTTGGTGACAAATAGAGAGTACAAGTTGGAGTCAGGAGCACCTCTAGGGTGTGCAAATAATTGTTGTGGCATCCTTATATTTAGAAAAAAAATAATGTGAGGTGAGACATGGTGATTTATGTGTGAAGATTTAGAATAATAAATAAAGAAGAGGTATATCTATACAATTTTCCAATCAGTGCATTTGAAAATTCTTTATTCTCTAGTTTCCCCCAGTCAGAATCAGCACCATCTGGCAGTGTATTCTTATGCAATCCTATGACAAGTCCATGCCAGTCCTGGGGAGCAATCCACTCACCAGGCTGCCCTCCTGGAAATGATCCTGGCCTTGGGACTCCTGAAGACTCCTCACGCAGGGGTCTTAGAGCTCCTCTGGGCATCTGATATGGTGCATAGGAGAGTGTCAGACTTAGAGATCAGCTTCATGGGGCAAAACAAGAAACAGGAACAGGGTTCAGAACATGGGTCCTGGTCTGGCTCAGAGTGCCCCCTCCCTTCCCTAGACAGGCTGTCAGTTCTGGCCAGTCCCAGGCACCAAGAGGGTACTTAGAGCATTCTGAGGAAGTATTCAACACACCCTTGTGAGTCCACAAGATCCATAAAATATGTCTATGTCTTGAGAAGATAATTATCCAGGAAGAGAAACCCACTTAAAAATTCTAGAAAGTAGCAAGTGCTCCTTTGGAGACAAAGTTAAACTGCTTCGTCATGCAAAGTCAAAATCTACAACCTTGAAGCAGTTCCTGCATAAACACATTGGCAACAGCATCACCGTGTCCTCTAATAGACACCTTTTATTGATTATTTGCAAGATTCTTCCTGAGGACACACCAGGGCTAGAAGGTGAAAGAACACAACAGTTCTCCTACTACTGTTGGCTCACAGGCGTGGCCTGGAGCAGCTGTTTTCAGACTTTACTGCTCATAAGAATCATCCTCAGAGTATCTGGTAATGGGGTCCAGGCAACTCAATATCTGAGAAACACTTAAGGTGGTTTCCAGGGACCAAAGCTTGAGAAACTACAGAATTGGAGACAACTCATAAGCATTCTCACCTTTTTTGATATAAAGAATTTTGTTGACAAAGCAGAAAAATGATGTGAAATTCTGGGGGTGCTGTTGAATATAAAAATTTAATGATTGTTTTTACTTTATATTTATTGACTCTTTGCGACTGGCAGAGAGAGAGTAAGACTTAGAGCTAGAATTCTTTTTAGTAGTAAAAAAAGATTTTTCCAAAAATTGTTCTAAGGGCTTTATATATAATAACTCGTTTATATATAATCTCTATTGCATCTTTACAACAACTCCGAGTAGATACCATTATTATCACCATTAACACACAAAAAACTGGGGAACAGAGAGCATTCATAACTTGTCCAAGGTCACATAGCTAGTAGGTGGAGAGCTGGAAATCCAAACCAGGCATTTCTACACTAGCATCCATATTTTCACTACGATTGAGAACATAAGGAGGTATGCTGGGTCCTAGAAAAAAATGCTGGGAGTAGCCCTTGGCATGTTCTATAGTATACTCCAGCAAACAGGAGAGTACAAAAGGTACGATATAGCCATATATTTTAGATGCCTAAGTACATCAAAGCAGGAGTTTTCAACTTGGTCACACATTACAATAACCTTAGGAGCTTTTAAAATTTTCTAGTGTCCCAGCTCCACCACGAACAAATAAAATCATAATATCTAAAGGTGCAGCCCAGCACGAGTGTTTTTAAAAAATATCCCCAGGTAATGGCAACGTGACATCACTGCATTGGAGGGTTAAAAACATGTATTTGCTTAAAATTTAAAAACATATACATGTCTTTGCAGATGATCTCCTTTTGCTTTGCTTTAAGAGAATGAAAGTAAGCTTACCAAATAGTCCACATAAAGTTTGTACAGTGTTGTGCGGTGAACTGAATTTCAGTGATACTCAGTTAGTAATATATTCAGAGTTATAACTTTATTCCAAGTTGTATTAGCCTCTTTATTAAAAGGAACTTGGTGATAATGATCTGACAAACCAGTTGTTTAGAATAACAATTAACTAGTATGATGACAGTGATGGATATGTTAATTTAACATATTGTTGAAATCATTTCACATGTATGTGTATATCAAGTCATCACACTGTATACCTTAAATATATACTATTCTATTTGTCAGTTATACCTCAATAAAACTGGAAAAAATTAGTGTGATGACTATCGGATATTCAGAAGCCATTCTATCCTGATTTACTAATTCTGGATAACTTCCCTTTATTCAAAGGGAAACTATGATTATTTTATAATGCACGTATGCCTGCCGGATGAAATGCCAGATTTCTCCACATTCCGTTCTTGGATCCAATCCATCTGAGTAGCTGGGGTCCTTCATCTATACCTGACACTTTTAAAGCTTTGTATGAAACATCTGTTTTCCATTTTTTAAATGTCGACTTGTCCATCTTGAATGGGCATTGGGTAAAGGAGACAAATCCTGCTTTGTCTAAAGGGCCCATCTTGACTGTTATGCCGAAACCATATTTGCTCCATTAATCAGATCCCTTAACAACTCATCAGCAAAGGCAGTGGGCAGCGGATAATCCTCGTGAGCAATCCATGTTAACCACTCCAAACAGCACTGGGTAGTGGGCAATAAAAAGTGTTTTCTCTCCCAAAGTTGTATTTTCCTACTACATCTTGTTTTGTACTCTACTAACAGTTAAGTATTACAGTCATGGAAGAGGTCCAGGGAGATTTAAAAATAATGGGCATTGATCCTTCTACCCCTGCCATGCTTCTCCCTGCAGAATCACTGCTCTTTGTACTCAGCTAAGTTGACAGCCTTCTGCATTTCCCATCCAAAGCCCCAAGCATAGGAGCTGCAGCCCCGAGGAACTTATAACTGAAGAGATTTCCATAGAATAATATTTGGGATATCAGACCCTCAACTCAATTCTGAGCCTATCTTAACTACCCTTTTTTCCCTTTACCCCATCCCCAGAATATGGAGACCTGGAGTTTTCTAAGAGGGAACAGGGAAGAATTAGAACGTCACTGTGCCAAGGCAATCGCCTTAGTGGTAAAAACCCCCCTTCATCATGCTCATCGAAGCAGGAGTCTCTGGCCCTAATCTTGCTGTGATGTGGGTGGAAGGTCCGAGGACCGCCCTGCTCTAACAGGAAGTAGATTCTAACGCCCCTGCAAGCCGGAAGTAGTTGGGGGCCTCTCTTCCGGGTCCGGCATTGTCTAATGGGTTCCTGTTACAGTGCGTGCCCACGTGGGTCTTCATCATTCTCCAATGTCCCCAGAGCCCTGAAACTGGGAAGATTTATGAATGGCCAGCGCTTTCTGCCAATAAGTCACAGGTACAAGCTGGCCTTAACAAAAGGGGTGGCTCCAATGCTTCTTTTTTCTTTCTCTCTTTTTTTTTTTTCCTTTCATTCCCCCCCCCCCCCCCCGTCCAGCTCTGCCTTTCTGGTTGGCCGTCAGCATGATCTCGTTAAGGCTGAGTGACCCCAGCCTGACTGCGGCAGCTCCTGAAGTTGGTGCGCTGCTACTGTTTCCTCTCCCAAGACATCTGCTTCAGCACTGCTTCAGATAATACTTCATTATGTCCTGGAAATGTTTCTTACCACTTTGTGTGCCATTGTGTGTCGTTCCCTTTGAAGTTAATGTGAGTCTTATGTGATGAAATGATATATACATCAGAGGCTACTAAAAATTATGGTCCACTGAATAAAAAAAAAATAGAAATATCCCCTTCTCATTTTTTAAATTCAAAATAGCAGAACTCCAGTCTCCCTTTAGTGCAGGCAGTTTGCTTGAAGGTTGAAGGGAGAAAGAGGAGAATATTTTCACTTAGTGCTGCAGATCAGAGCTTGAAGCGAGGTGAAGGAATGCTCACGCAGCTGGGTGAGTGATGGGCTTATTCAGTGTTTATGACTCTTCAAAATCGTTAACACAACTCTGGAAATGCCCGTGTAACAAATACTTAAGCTATTAGAAGAAAATCTGTTTCACATTCTGCAGTATAACTGAGTGTGTATCCACTAAGACTCTTATCAGTCATTAAACTACCAAGTTGAATAGAGGTTGTGTGTATGGTCCTTAGGTCTATAAATAATTGGTGATGTGCAAATATTTAGACTTAATCATCATTAATGTTTAGAGTGTATTTACTGCTTACAATGTGGTGGGCTAAACATATGGCACAGATTTCATCATGAAATTCATACAAAATCACCCTGTGAGTTAATGATGTCACATTTTCTGCATTTTGCAGACAGAGAAACTGAGGAATTGACAAAATAAGTAACTTACTTGTTCAAAGGTCACAAAATCAGCTGAGGAATCAGCATCCAACCCAGGCAGGTGGCAGGTAGAGCACATTCTATTAACCATATACCATGGAAATCACATTTATGGAAGTAAGAAGGTGGAAGACCCACTCTTGGGTCAGGTGGAATTTCAGACTAGCAGTGCGATGGTGACTGTTTTTTCTGGCAGTCTCCACTTGCTTCTATTCAGTTCCTGATTCTGTCAGGGTCTTTTGAGTCACTGATCCATCTTGTCCACCTTCACAAAGTTAATTATTCATTAGAAACAGAGGAGGAAAAGAGAAAAAAATCTATACTAGCCCTGTCTCTGTGCTAGGGCAACTTTCCACAGATTTATAGCACACAGCACTTGAACTCTGAGTTTACGTGAAAGAAACTTCTACATGCCAGAGGATATTTGCCACTGAGGAGCTACAAATCTAGGGGTCCTAGAATACTTTTGTCTACAAAATTGAGAACAGTCATTAACTAGTTATATTTCGTCATTTGACCTTTATCTTGTGCATTTAAACACTTGAATGCCAACTTTAAGACTAATACATTGATTGTAGTTCTTTCTAAATTTTCAAAATTCACTGTAAAAGCAAGTATTATTATTTAATCAGAAAAAAATATTTTAAAACATTTGATGGAATTTTTAACTTTTTTCATGATTTTAGCAAAATAATATCTTTTATGAACTCTTATCAGACTAATATTTTAGTAATGACATGTAGAATATTATCTCAATAGGATTTTTTTCTAACTATATTACCTATGCTCCTCCATATTTTTGTCTTTTCACTACAGGATAGGAGCCCAGCAGACTCGATATTTTCTATTTCTGGAGCAAATATATATATATAAGAAATAACTTGCAAGTCATTTTTATCCTCAAAGTGGTTCTGCTCTAGCTATGATAATATATATAGAGCAATAATTCTCCATTAGAAGATGACAACTACTTGAAAGGTCTCTTGTTAGCTAAGTGTTTCTTTTATTGAATTATTGGTCCTATTTTCCCAGTAGTGAGAAAAGGGAGAAAGGAAGGGGGGAAATGAAGGTAGAATTCAACTTGAGGCTGACCAAGGAGACAATAAAGACATCAGGAAAATGTCAAGACAGCTTTTAGATTGCAAATTCCAAGCTAGTATCCCCATAAAGTATTAAACCTCAGTCATAAACCACTCATGATCTCTTCCATCATTTGTAACTTTGAGAAAGCGTAAACAAAGACAGTAAAGATGATACATGTCAAAGATGACATTGAGTCAATTACCATATGCAGTTGATGTTCAGAATGGATATGAACTGAGACCTTAACAAATCCCCAAACTCATGATTACCAACATGTCTTATTTTCCCCATCAAATGCTCTAGAGGATACATTTTATTGAGAAATTCATGTTACCTCTTTGACTCAACTTGGACTTTTCACACCAAAAACATGAGAAAACCCAGTATCAAAGAAGCTAGAAAATAAAGAAAATTATAAAGAGAATTTGCTCGAGGGAGGTGATCAGGACCTGAGTGTTCTCTATACCCTCCCCTCCCCTCCTCTGCAGTCCCTGACCTGTCCAGTCTACCCCGCACTTAAAAATTCTCTATCTGTATTAGCTTAAAGAGATTGCTGAGTTATGTAAGAGTTAATTACCATGTGATGACCTATGTGCTGATTTTGAGGGCATGTAGAACAAATACATAACCCGGACCTGGTGGATTCAGGAAAGAAAGTATCTCTTGAACTGAAGATTAAAAAACATGGAAGAAAGAATCAGCCAGGGGAAAAAAAATAAAGATTACTTCTAGAGAGAAGGAAGAGAACAAGAAATAAAAGTCATTAACTAGTTACATTTCTAATGCAGGGAGCATTAGAGTAATTTGTTGTTCATTTTGGCTTGAGCACCATTGCATATGGGGAATGGGAAATTAATCTGGAAAGTGTATAATGAAGAGTAGAGGGGCATCAGTTATGTGGATAAACTGGGAATAATGAGAACCTGAGCGAGGTAGGAACTAACAAGATAGCTGAAGATGGAAAATGAGGGAGTCTGGGTGAAGGACCACACACCTGAGAGATGTTCAAGAAATACTACTGATCACCATAGCCAAGACATGGTAACAATGCAAGAGCCATGAACAGACGATTGGCTTAAGAAGGTGTGGTTGATAGACAATGAAATATTTCTCAGCCATAAAAAAGATTGAAACGTTGCCATTTGCAGCAACATGGATGGACCTAGAGAATATTATATCAAGTGAAGTAAGTCAGAAAAAGATAAATATTATATGATATTACTTATATATGGAATCTGAAAAATAATACAAATGCTATACAGTAAATGCTTGTTGCTTATCTATTTTATATAGTAGTTTGTATCAGTTAATCCCATGCTCCTTATTTATCCCTCCCCTCCCTTCCCCCTTTGGTAACCATAAGTTTGTTTTCTATGTCTGTGAGTCTGTTTCTGTTTTATATGTAGATTCATTTGTAGTGGTTGACAAAACCCACTCCACAGGCTTTCTGATTACCATTGCCCTCACAACTTTCAAAAGCTATATACTAACATTAGGCAATCTCTGTGCTATTATTTCTATTATTTTTTCTAGTTAATTCTTGTTTTTGTTTTTGTTTTGAATTTCCTTCATTCTCCTGACATATGTTCCTTTGTTCTAGTGATTTGTAAGTTAAAAGCTTATTTTTCTTCTACTAATATTTTCCAACAGGTTAACTTTTTTCTTTAATATAAATGTCAAGAAGAAAATAGCATCTCTTAAACCTCTGAAAGGATTAAAGATTTAGCATACTTCACCTTTCCACACTACCCTTCTCTCACATATTTTCCAATAGCATCCATATAATTTAAAATTTATCACTTGCTTATCATAACTAAATTGTAATTTTGACCTTATATAGTTTTCTTTCAAAACTTATTTCTTCTTAAAATATTTATAACCTCACTAGCAACAGTTTTCCTGAAATTGTTTTTGCTGACTTCATTGCTGCTTGTATAGTCTTGTAACACCCATCATCCATATTGGACTTCTTAATTTTTAATTTATATCTCTCTCTCTATATTATTTTTTCAAGGGTATATTTGTGATTTGTAATATCAAGAATGTTTCTATTTTGTTTGCACATGAACAGTAAAAATAAGGTTTCTACACTTTGAATCTGTAGACAAGCCTGACTTTAAATTAGGAAAATTCATGACTTATTTAAATAGTGCTTATGTTCTCTCTACTTTTTAATTCTTTTTCTTTTTTCTTTTTCTTTTTGTTGTTGTTGTTGGAATACTCATTATTAGGGTTTTTCTGTTCTTTTTTTCTTTTTAAAAATGTTTTTGTTCTTTTCACAAAATTATTTTATTATCTTTTGGGGATTCCTAGTATGTATGCATTTGTACTTCCTGAATCTCTTTTTCCTTCTCTCTCTCTCTTTATCTCACTCATTTTTTTTCCGTCTAGTGGGAGAATTTATTTCTATCTTGTTAATTCTATTTTTACAAGTTTTCAGTGTCCTCATGACAGCCTCCAGTATGGTTTTTAATTTTACAAATGTGCATTTTGATCACTGTAACATCTTTAGCAATTGCATGTTATTCTTTCATCAGATATCAGATTTAGTTTCATAAATGTGATGTTGCCTTAAATACTTTGGTGTACAATTTCTAACTCCTGTATCTTTTGATAGGTCAAGTACTTTTTCTGTGTCATTGTGAAAGTGTTCTGCCTGTTTATTTCTGTTCCTCCAGAGGAGGAAGCCCCGGGATACAGTTTCTGATATTGTTTGCTGCCCCCTTGAGAGAAAGCTGGACAGGTTTCTGCTAGAAGCAGTAGTCCACTTTGAGAGGAAACCCATGTCAAAGTTTTCTGTTCCTCTGACTTCTCCTTCAGGTGGAAACCCCACTAATGTACCAGCCTGCAGATGTCTTCTACAGATAGAGACTTCACCACTGGGCTGACCTCATGGCTGTTACCTCTGCTTGTTCTCTAATCTGACCTCATCACTGTGAGTTAGAAGATAAATTAACCTTTGCCAATATGTCATCCATGAATGCCCGTGAATGCTGCGCTTCTACAGAAATGAGGATTTTCAGATTATTCTCAATGCCCTTTTCAGCATCTCTGTACCTATCCTACATCGAACTGACATCCCTCAGAATTTTTAGCATGTCAAACTTTCATTCATTCAAAAATCATTATTTTGAGAATTGAAGATACAGTCATGATTGAAGCAGATAAATCTTGAACTCTGAAAATCATATATCCTACTGGGGAGGAGTCAGATAATAAACAAATAAATATGTAAATGTATATTATGACAGATAGAGATGTTAGATGACAGGCAAGGTCAAGAAAGGAGGAAGAGGCAAGTGAAACACTCTCTCTGAATGTCGTGCTGATTTACTCCCCACTTCCAACAAAACATCTTTTTGTTTATTTAATTTCTAATTTCTTTGGGAATCTAATGGTAGAGAGGCAGGATGGCAGGAGCTGTTGAATGCTTTCATTCACGTGAGCTTCCTGCCTTGAAGGCTTCCTCTTTCTCCTTTACCTACAGATTCTAACCTATGATTCTACCCTTGCTTTTCTTTTTCTTAATACTTCCCTTGGTTTTTAAACCCCAGATCTAGATTCCTGATCTAGATTTCTATTTGTCTACCATGACCACAATGATATATGAAATGTACCTCAGACTTTTCATGTTCAAACAAAATGCATCGTCCTCTCAAATCCCACTCTCCCTTCTGCATTCCATAGAGACCAGTGTCACTGTAATGCCAAGTTGTTGGGGTTTTGAATATCAAGGCTTCAATTCCTCTTTCCTCTCTGTTTCCTAAATTCAGTTCCTAATCCCTATCCATTTAGATTGTGAGAAATTTTTCTTCAGTTCCTTCATTTCCAATACCAGGGCTGTTGACTAATTCACCCCAACTACTCAAGAGCAGCTGACTGGATTTCCTGCTGACTGTTCTCTTTCTTCCTGATCCATCTGAAGTACTGAAGACAACATTATCAGCCTAAAACACACGTATAATATGTATAATAGAGTCACACTGTTGGCTTCAGTGGCCCCCAACAAATTATTTTTAAATCAGGAAGTGAGTTAGATATTTTTCTGTATTTAAGGTACATTTAATTGGACAGGTCTTATTCTAGTCTCTTTATGTCTTTAAAAAAATGAAATGACTTATGAAGTCAGTAAGATGGTCTAACTGTAGCGCTAACACACAAAACTATAATTTCCAACATTTT